TGACAGAGAAGGATGGCGTAAACTTTTGATGGCCACAGCAGCGCAGCTAGCGCCACCTGACTGAAGAATAAGACATCTGCATCCCCGGATACATTGCTGACGGTGCAATTATTCTTCCTCAGTTCCTCACTAATGAGATTCATGAGTCCCTGCTTATTGCAGTCTCTTGATAAAAACTCATCCTTCTTGCCTGAGAATACTGTGTCTACATTGAATCTGACAACTAGATGGGCATTAATCTGCCTACGTCGCTGGTGTGTATTATCATTAATTGACGGCCCTCCACCATAGCCGTCAAAAACTACATTTGCAGAACCATATAGGGGGAGGGGTTGTGAAATCAGGATATGATCGTGCTATTCTGCCAAAGCTGTCTCCTGTCTTCCATGGTACCCGATGCACCAAGGAACCACCATCAAGGACATACTGGTCTGTGTTCTTTCACGGCTTCACCCGACACTTTACTTGCATGATCGGTTGTAACATGAGCTAGCTGAGGCTTCTTAGCCTTCCGAATGACATTCCTAGCCTCGAAAAGCACAGGTAGGAACGGACCGAGCTCAAAGCTCATCACCTCTGCTACCTCAAGTTCCCCCTTTTTTAACTACCAGGAACTGTTGAAACAGCAAAGCAAAGCAGCAATTATTGTTTGCAGGTACAATTTGTACTTTCGAAATCTCTCCCAGAGTCGTAGCTTTGGCTTTCCTTTTGAACGAGATTATTAAAACAGCATATTGGAAGGCTGCTGAGCATAATCATCGATGTACTCCAGAATAGCCCACTGAAAGGGATTGACTTGCAATTAGGTTGCTTCCAGACGTTCATGATTTTGCTGGAATCAATCGGTACCCTGATGAAAGGAACTGGACTTCGCATAATCCTTAGAACAGATAGCAGGGAGCTATAATTCCACTCTTACAATCGACAGCCAAGGCTCCGATGGTGTAGAACTCTAAGCAGTTGAAAGTGGACCTGGGTACGGGATCTGTGCTCACAACAACTTTTTCTAGATGCCTACACCGATTGCGATTCAACTTCCCGGATATTCTTCATAGGAAAGAAAGCAGTCTTCCAGAAGCTTGTGAATTGCAACCTCACTTTGGAATCCTGTGCTAGTAATTTCCTTCTACCAAGTCAGCCAAAGTAACTACTTACAGGAACTTGGTATCAAAGCAATGTCTGTCATGTTTGGTGGCCGCTGTAATGACTCAGTTGCATCATTACGATACAACTTGTTCGTCAAGAAAATTGCCAATGCAACCCCCTCCGACGTCAGCCTCCACAAAATGCACTCCCTCAGAACATACTACCAAGCCCGGATGGGGGGGGGATTAGATTATGAACCCCTACCTAGTTTTAGGGGACATTTTTTCGAAGTTAAGCCCACTTTACACAATTTTCACAATGCAAACACACCGAAAATTTTGAAAACACGGACCCATGTTTAGGGATATTTTTGTTAAAAATGGGACCCATGTTTAGGGATTATTGGTGAAAAAGTGACTCATTAGAGCGGCACACGCATGTATGTCTTAATATGTGAGTACCCCCCCCCCCCCCCCCCCCCCCCCCCTTTCTCGGGCTACCAAGTCATGGCATGGATGAAGAGTGAGAGGATATGAACGTCAGAGACTGGGGCTGGAAATTAGAGGACAATCATCTGGTTCCACTAATGTCAAATACGGAGGCTGCACCTAGTAATCTTCTTAAGTTGATTCATTGCGACTTCTGTACTGCTTGTAGCACACCTCGCTATACCTGCATATGTTACGGACTACCATGTAACAGTGTGTGTGTGTGTGGACCTTGCCAACTTAATGTATGCCACAACAACCATTTAACGAGTCACCTGATAGTGAAGCAGAAGATGATTTTTCCTTACTAAAGTAAATTCCTCATCAAAATGAAGGAACATGCAGCTAGATCTGCATTTGTATTCGCTATAAGATGACATGAACAACACGAGGTTTTAAACATTTTTAATTGTATGGTAGGTATTATGGATGTGTGTCTAGATATTATTATTAAGTTGTAACTTTGTCTTTGTCACTCCCCCCTCCCTCGGCCACTCCCTCAGTGTTGACAAATGACCTGTCAAAAAATGAATTGACCCTCTTGCTGGGGGGGGGGTCGATGACACCATAAGGGTGAGAGAAACATTATAAGTTCATTTCCTGTTTATAAAGTGCGCCCTCTATTGAGAAATATTAGTGGTTTTGTGGCCCTTTGGACGCCATATTGGATTTCGTGGTTCCCTGAACCACTGCTTAACGTTCTAACTTATCCTAATGGATTCTATGACCCCGAAAACCATAGCATAGACACCCCAATTATGTCTCTCGGATGAATAATAAGTCACTTATGGTCATTTTTATGTTATGGCGGCCATTTTGGACGCCATCTTGGATTTTGGGGTTTCCTAGACCATCACAAACCATTCTTACTTGTCTCAATGGATTCTCTGACCCCCGAAACCATGGGATAGACACTACAATTATGTCTCTAGGATGGATAATAAGTGATTTATGGCCATGTCTAGGTATCGGCGGCCATCTTGGACGCCATCTTGAAAATAACAGCTTTCTGAATCTTCGATTTTGGTCTACTTTTAGTATGTTATTCCTGAGGTCGAATACTACTAGAAACCGTTGGAAAACCTTTTGTTGCAATTTTTTTGGGGTTGGGGTGTTTTTTTACCGTATATTGACCTGACTAATATACAACATGTAAATATATAAATGTAATATCTGTCTTTCCTCGAGACTAACGTATATGAAATAATTTGTTGCCATTTTTTTCTCTTTCCCGCACAAACACTGACACACACACACACTCTCTCTCTCTCTCTCTCTTCATTAATAAAATGCCATGAACTGATCTTTGAACAATCAGAGCGGAAGACAATGAAAAAGGTACGTTCGTTACGTCTGATATGAATTTCGATTATCTTTTATTTTCTTTTGAAAAAATAAATGGGCTTGCCAAATTATTTCGATGATTTCGTCACCAGCTTCGCAAAAAGACTTCATTGTAATTTATTTCACTTTAAAGGAAATGGACTTAGTTATGACAATAGTAACCCGAAATTACATTATTTTAAATTTCCGAAATAAATTCGACCACACTACTCTCGTTAACTTCATAATGGCGTAACCTGAAATGCGTTCGCACAGAATTGCAGTAATTTTGATATGTATGTATATGAATAAGCGTCAAACATGATGAGGAGGATGATTACTTCTTGTAAAGCGAAAATATATGTTTGCTCTAAATAGTTTCACACATCGAACTGTCTTCGTGAAGTGTGTCAAATTGGATTAAACACATGTCCATAGTAGTTGTCAGCAATCTTATACAAGCATACGCCCGTTTATATTCGAATCCACAGTTAAGCAAAACTTCGACGTGGAGATGACGAAAGCTACCCCTTCTGATGAGCAACTGGATCCAAACAAGGTTTCCCAAAAAATTCTTTAAAGCGTATGAAACTATGACCCCCCCCCTTCCCCCTTGGGCTACCAAGTTAAAAATTGATGTGCATAGAAAAACGCCATCATGTGTTCAGACCCACACAGTATTAGTAGATGTTATACATCACTTATGGGGGTTTTAAAAATAAAATCGCCTCGCCGATATGCGGGTCGGGCTCGTGGACGATGCTAAAACATGCTAGTAGATGCCAGGAAACATCACTTACGGGGGTTCAAAATAGCAAACAAAAAATTGCCAAGCCGCTTCGCGGCTACTCATTGGTCATTGGTTTAACCCCCCCCCCCCCCTGGCAAAAAGCTAGATTCGCCCCGGGATAGTAGGCTTAACATATCAGATTTCTATAAATGTGGTGTCATCCCCCCCCCCCCCCGCCAAATCTACAAGAACTGTATTAAGAAATCCCTTATTTTTTATTTATTTTTAAGAAGAAAATTGTAAATATGATGAAATAAAGTAATGTGTTGGCTAGTCATGCTCGTCTTGTTGTTCCTTTGTGTTAGGCCAAGATTCTTGCTGGGCTATCAATATTTCTGTTTCTCAGTGTTTTCTTTTATATGAATAAGTTGTAAACAGTAATCCAATCCAATTCAATCCACAGAGTATTTACTATACCACCTTTTCCTTGCAGTACGAAAGCGGTTCCAAATTTTGTCTATTATCATGGATTATATGGTAAAAGGACCGCTTAAACAATAAGATAACCTTTAAAAACACCAGCTGGATCATTATTAACAATAACATGTCAAATCGTTTTTTTAGTAACGTTCAACCTAAATTACATAATACCGTCATTGGTCTAAATGTGCAGGGTTTTTGCATGTGTCTCAAAAATAACGTTGTATTGTTTTTTAAACTTCAGAATAGAATAACGCCAATGTGTTACTCTTAGTACTTAGAGAAAGAGAGAGAGAGAGAGAGAGAGAGAGCTACACACTAAGAAATAAGGGTGCAATTAGGGGGAGGGAATTTGCATCCACCTAGTACGCGTATTTGGCAGAGGGTGTTGTTATGCTAGCAGAATTACATCCTTATTTATTAGTGTGTATAGTGTTAATAGTATCATAAGAGTATTTTCATTAAGTAAGGTGCTTCATACATTATATACCACCAGTATCCCTCCTTAACTTTAAACTCCTTATTTATAAACAATAAAAAGAGTGACTCAGTGACGACTGGTTGGACTTTGTCTACTTATCTGTATAGTAGCAAGTGTCAAGATCCTAATACTGTACATAATGTCGTTTCAGATATGTTTGCCGGGAGAGGGCACAGCCGAAAGTGCGACACAACAATTCACAGAGTCACATAGTTATAACCACACTATTGCCATCAGTAATTTTTTTTTTTAAAGAGCTCATTTGCTAAAAATGTTTCAACTTAAAAGGAAATTAGTTGAAAATAACCGTTATATATGTATATAGTGATATATACATTCAAACATATTGTCTCGATTTCAGAATTACCGAATGGATGTTTCATTAACAAAGGGTCACATGTTTACTTTTAACATGAGTGAAGCCAGGGTGGGATCACATCTTGACGTTGGGAAAATTGACTACGTGTTCAAGGAAATAGGTTTTAAGAACGAAACCTGTTCGGATTTGACTGCTAAGGTAAGAGAATCTTGTTTAATTTATCTGCTTTCCTCTCGTTGTGAATACTATTACTTAGCGGTGTAACACAGAAGTAGCTTAAAATCAATCATAGCTTCAAATTTGTTTTGTCGTAAAATTGGATTTTCTTTCGATCCTTTTTTTTGTAACAATTATATCTATTATTAATAGATAGAGTTTATATCCTCCAAGAACTTCACTGACCAATTAAGATTGCTTAATAAAGATTTACAAATATAGCTCTGCTAGCATATAAATGGTATATACAAGAATAAATCAAATTGGCGCAGGCATTTCATCAAAAAAAGGTAAGATATTGTTATTCCAATTGTATGTGCAATAATTATATAATATTGACTGGCCTTGAGGGGTATATCAGAAATATTGACCAAGCTCAGATCATATTGCCCCGAGTCGAAAGACGAGGGCAATATGGTCTTAGCGCGGTCAATATTTCTGATATCCCCCGAAAGTAAAGCCAGTCAATATTTTTATTGTTATCCAAATCAGACATCTAGAGCAAATACAGACATCCACCATGACAATCTCAAGAACTGAACAAACTTTGTCAAACCAACACTGTGCATCCAGTGCTTGACAAAATTGTCGATACACTACAAACAGTGTGTATTTGGTTTGATTATTACGTCACAATACAGTGCGCGCAAAGTGCACAGGTTCTCGTACGCATAATATTAATAGATGCGCAATGAAAATGCGAGACCGTGGAAAATACCAAGGTATATTTTCACTCGTCTCTACACGCAAAGTCAATACGCGCAGGGAGACCAAGGAAAATACAAAGAATATACCCCTCCGTTCCCACTGCTAGTGAAAACTAGGGCAATACGGTTTTGTAAATGACCAGCTCAGATGTCTGATACGGGTAATAATTCAAGATAATAAATGATTAGGCCTAGTCCTACATCTATTTTTTTTTATTAACAAAAAAACATAAATACAATTTTCGAGAAGATCAAATTCGCGTTTAAAGGTAGGCGGGTCACCTTAGATCATTTAGATCACCTTACACGAAACAAAAGGGTCTTGATACATGTAATTGCTTATGACATGATTTGTTATATTATAATTACCGTGCCGATAATTTTAAATTACCTATGTCACGTTATAACAATGTTATTTTTTTTCTCCGTTCAGCAAAACTTCAATTTTTTTGTGAGCCTGTTATTTAGAATGTGAATGAAACAAATATAAATTACACATCCATATATAACGAGTGTGTGAGAGTGTGGGGCATGTGGGTGATGAATGTGCTTTGTAGGTCAGAAGTATATATCATCAGGCTGTTTAATCTAATCATGACTACCATGAATACCATATTGCCATTTTTGTCTTAAATAATACAGCAATTTGAAGACGAGCTAGAGAAGTTCGTGACTTCTCCTAAACATGAAGGTATGTGCTCTGCTGTGTTCGTGATCATGGCACATGGCAACGAGACAGGGATTCAATGCAAGAACAAACACATCGTTACTATGAAGTTTATCATGGACAAGGTTAATACGATGAAGCACATGAATGGAAAACCCAAGATTATTTTCTTCCAGTGTTGCCGCGGAGGTAGGTCTTCTCGTCTTTAACTCTAAAGAAATGCTAACGAAAGATACCCTCTCCCTTCCCCCTTTTAAAGATACTATGTCCCTTTTGCAGCCAACGTCAACTTTTGTTGAACTTTGCAGGAATTATGAGTATCTCATGTATGTCCTGTCTGTGAAATTTAAATTTTAGCAGTGTCCTAGTATCCAAATTATGCAAGGAAACCCTTTTACCTTCTAGATTTCACTGTCAGACACTACTATTGAGTGACTGACTGACATCTTTTTTTGTCCTTTGTTAATGACATACATAAAATAAGCTGTAACAGGTACATGAGCATTTGCTTAACATAAACTGATTGAATATTTGTGCAGCAAACAACGTACGACCATTCGGTAAAAGGGCCTGAAAATCACTGTTACTTAGGTGATTGCAATCACTTAAAGATAAAGTTGAGTTCTGGTCATGCTATTGCATTTTAAAAGAAACGGTGTGGAATCGATCAGAAAAGGATGATCATCTAGCAAACAAGTATTGGTGTGCACTGCAAGGTTCTGGAATCATCAAAATGATATGAAATTTGGCCCAGTCTTGGTAAAGTTTAAAGCACTGTACACAGCAATATGTATTTGGGACTACACGAACATGTGGCATACAAATCCGTCCCGATTGTTATGCTGTTACCCCCCCCCCCCCCCCCCCTCCACTCCGGGGTAGGAATGACCCCATGCGTGTTACCAAAATGTCCGGTAAAGGGCAAGCACGTAGCCAGGATTTCGTTTTAGGGGGGCGGTAGTGAGCACGCAAAGCGTGCGAATCACTTACAGAGCGCGCGTAGCGCGCTCCCTAGGGGGGAGGGTGCAGCGCGAAAGCTTTGAGGTTTCATCAAATTATAAGAGAAAGAAGACGATTCGTTGGACCGTTCTCGACTCTTAATCCTTATCTAAATTCAGTTTCTTTTGACGTTTCATTAGAGAAAAAGACGATTCGTTATACCGTCCTCGACTCTTAATCCTTTTTTGTATCAAGTTCCCCTTCCTCCGCAGAAGCTGTAGCGCGGAAGCTCTGAAGTTTTATTAGATTATTAAAGAAAAAAGAAGATTCGTTGTACCATTCTCGATCGACTCTTAATCCTTGTCTGAATTCAGTTCCCCCCTCCCCTCCCGCGGAAGCTTTGACGTTTTATAAATTATTAGAGAAAGAAGACGATTTGTTGTACCGTTCTCGACTCTTAATCATTTTTCTTCCTACGTCCTCTTCCTTTCTTCTTTTTTTCTCTCTCTTTTTTTTTTTTGCCGGCGTTTTTTTGGGGGCGACCGCCCCCACCGCCCCCCCCCCCTGGCTACGCGCCTGGAACTTAAAGGGGTACTCTTCGTGCGACAAAGTCCGGCCCGAGAATTGTAAAAAAAGGGGTGTATTAACTTTTCACCCGGAGATTTCTTTAAAAAGGGGGTGTTTTTTCTATTTTCCTCTCATCTCTTTGGACTCCTAAGAAATTATTCCGAATTAAGGGGGGTACATTGAGCATTATTCCTGATTTAGGGGGGTCTCAAAGGCAGGAAAAGCCCGCAAAAAGCCCGCGAAAGGGGGGTTCGGAAATGTTGGCAGTCCTCAGATAGGGGGTGCTTTCAAAAAGAGGGAACGAGCATATGCGTACCCTAAATAACACTGAGTGGGGGGGGGGGGGCTGTTACATGCCATATTCAATTGAAGAGCCATGCTTTTTAGGGAACATGTTTTATCTGATGTTTTTCCACACTTGCATAATAACAAAGATAACGGTCACACATTATTGTTCACCTTCCTTCTCTATGTCGATTCGACAACTAATGGTCTTTTTTCTCACTTAAAGCCATTTTCAAGCCCTTTCCTTTCGAGGGAAGTTCTAAATTAGTATTGTCTTTCAAATGCCGTTGGAATTTAACTTTTTCAATATTTTGGCCTGCAAATGGGACATAGTACACTCTAAAAAATCAAGTGTTAATTTTGGCACCTCAAGATTTGGAGGCAGCACCTGAAAGGGCACGCATAGGGGCTGCCCAAATTGTGCTAAAGTAGCACTTGTACACGTGCTATTATTCAGCACCAGTCCAAGTGCTACTTTAAACACTCTGGCCCGAATTCACAAAGCAAGGTTTGAGCTCAGACCAAGGTTTGAGCTCAAACCTCCTTTTGTTCTTTACAAACCAGGTTTGTAAAAAACGCGTAAAACGCGTCATATGACGTACGAAAACCAAGGTTTGTCGACAAACCTCCTTTGTGAATTCGGGCCTTTAAGTGTAAGCCTTTTTACACTTCTGGTGCTATTAGACGCATGTAGCTCGCAAAAACCACACTTCTAGTGCATTAAATAACCCCTTTTAGAGCCCCCAAAACGGCGCTACTAGTGCTAACACTTTTGCACCCAATATAGTGCTAAAGAACACACACAAACAGCATGCACAAAATCACACCTGACGTGCTGAAAACTCACCCTTCTGTTAAACAGCCCTAACATTATTGTCAGCCTACTTTAAGCACCTAAAACATACCCCTCAAGATTCCACTTGTCACACTCATGGTAACGAATGGGTAGTCACATATATGAGTTAAAAAGACTCACTTCTTTATTGACAAAAACCATTGTAAAATCACAACATCCCTTCAAAAAGTAATACATGTACATGTATTTGTATCCAAGGGTAAAAATCCAAAACTGTTTCATACATACTGATAAAACATGAAAGCTCAATGGTATCATCATACACAAGCAGAATTATTAGGCAATGAAAAGAATACCTTCTTAGATCCCCGCTTTTTATATATTTTGAATTTTAAATTACTTTGAATTTCTTTTGTGTGAAGCACTGCCTTAGCACCTGGAATATGCACACACATGCAATACACTTTCTTTGTACATAGTACACAATCTCCTTCCACCTTACATTCTCCAAAAAGATGAATACCTTCTCAGATCCCCGATAGCCGAGTGGCGACCTATCTCATTTGAATTTTAAATTACTTTGAATTTCTTTTGTGTGAAGCACTGCCTTAGCACCTGGAATATGCACTACCGGTGTTTCTGCAAGTGCTAAGACAGACAGGATCACACTTCGGGTGCAATTTCCCGAATAGCGCGTGTTTCCAGCACTCATTCTTCTGCTCGTCATCGCTTCCCAAACGCTGCATGCACGCCAAGGGCTATACTTGACACGTGTGGTGCAAATTTGTACCCAGCACCGGTGATTTAGCACTTCATTTTTTTAGAGTGTACCTTTCAAAGTTGTCTATATTTATCAAATTATACGATCATGGTATTTGTACAACACTTTGTTTTTGTATAACCTTCACTAGGAGGATCTTTTCCGGGACTTTCAATTCTCCAACCTCAAGCATTATTTGCAGACAATCTTAAACTACACTACGCTTCTTCTTCACCTTTTCTCATTCGCCCTCTTTCCCTCGATCTTTCCTGCCTATGCAAAGGTCTCCAAGCCTCCTTTCCGTACCGAGTGTCCCATTTACCTCATTTTCCGAATCCCTACCTCACAGATCATCATTGTTAAAAGGCTTACTCAGTCGTAACCAATTCCTTAGGCATTTGCAGATCGTGGCTAATATTTATGAGTCCAATATACTTGACCACAAAACGATATGTATGTTCGTGAGAGGCCCATGATAAAACAGAGAGGTTACACTTTTACTTTGTATATCTTTCTTTGAACGAGGTTCTCAAATAAAGAATAAACATAAGTATTGTGCTAAATGAAGGGATTTTGTTCAAATATTGTTTGTGCCGATTTCCACTCGTTTCAAGTCAAGTAATGCAGCTACTCAAAGGTTAAAAGATGCAAAGTGTTGAGTGTGATTATTGGCAGCAGGTCAGGAATATCTTCCAATCGGTCCTCTAATGGGATTAAAATTTTGATTTTTTTTTTTTTTAAAGCAAAAATATATTGTATGGACAAGGTGTCCAAGAGCATTGCGGGTCCATAAGCTAGGCATCCCGCAGATACATGCAATCAGGCGCATAGCCACGGGGGGGGGGGGGGGGGGCACGTGCCCCCCCCCCCTAACATTTCCAGGATCGGTTGAAATTCTGTAGACCCCTTTTTTGACCTCGATCGATTACATGTATGTGCCCCCCCCCCCCCCCCCAAATATCAAACTCTGGCTACGCGCCTGCATGCAATACAATATGCCGCTGCCAATTTTTGCTGTTTATTTTTCTTCTAACGGGTAATTGATGGCAACTACGCGCAAAAAACAAAACATGCAGCATGTATTTTGTTGAGCTATGGTTTATAAGATTCAGAAATGTGAAGCGTGTCACACGTTACGTCATAAAAAAAAAAACCCGTCGTGGTTTTGCCGCGTCATTTCTGAACGAGCCTTCAGCGTTTGAAAAAAGGTTTAGTTTATGGTCCTGCCATCAAACGTGATGCATTTTTTTTCAAATGATTGCACACATTAGTGTTCTTTCCATCATAAGATTGTGTCCCTTCCCTGTCATTCTACCTACGCAGAGGAGAAGTTAAAAAAGCTAGAAATGGATCAAGCTGGGACCGATGTACCGGCCAAATCTGACGTTCTGAGGGTCTATGCCACGACAGACGGTAATATTTTGATGATGATATAAAAGATAATAATAACAACTATGACAATGCTCATAATGGAATCATTAATAATAATAATGATAATAATAATAATAGCAGTAGTGGTAATAGTAGTTGCATTAGTAGAAGCATTAATGATAACAATTACATTAATGATAATAAATCACAACTATTTTGTAATACTTGTTTGGAACAAGTATAGGTGGGCTGATCCAACAAAAAATTGAGAAAAAATAAAGGGTACATTTGAGATAGCTTTTTGTCTCAGCTACAACATACTCGAAGTTCAGCGTAAATGAGGCTAAAACGACGTATAGTCTAGGCTAGGCCCCATAGGAAAGGACCTGAACCTTGCTTTTTTATATATACAATGTTTTTTGATGGTTTCTTGTCAATTTGAGGGTGCTGAATCCAAATCCGATGATTGCCAGACGCGAAACCTTCAGCATTTCTCGTAACCGGCAAAAATTCAAAATGGCCGCCAAAATGGCCGCCAAATCATGAAAAGGCTTATTCTTGGCAAATGTTTTGCCATTTAACAGGTTATTTTATGTTTTCTAGTCAATGGGAGGGTGCTGAATCCAAATCCGATGAGTGCCAGATGCGAAACCTTGAGCATTTCTCGTAAACGGCGAAAATTCAAAATGGCCGCCATAATGGTCGCCATATCATGAAAAGGCTTATTCTTTGCAAATTGTTGGCCATTTAACAGGTTATTTTATGTTTTCTTATCAATATGAGGGTGCTGAATCCAAATCCAATGAGTGCTAGACGCGAAACTTGAGAATTTCTCGTAAAATGCGAAAATTCAAAATGGCTGCCCATTTATGAAAACATTGATTCGATGGTCATTTATCAAGTTATTTGATGTGTTTTTTTGGTCAATTCGAGTATGCTGATTCCAAATCCGACGAGTGCCACACGTGAAACCTTGAGCATTTTTCACAAAATGCGAAAATTCAATTTGGCCGCTTTGCTGGAGTTCCAAAAACTTCTGTCTGATGGGAAGAGATTCCCACAGAATTTCAGGGTGCTTCGATTTGTCATTGAGGAAATATTGAGATAAGTACTGGAAGACCACCACTTCACTGACTTCGACGAGTTGATTGAAATAGCCAGCAGGCAAGGCAGTCAAACTACTAAATTATGGATGAACTGTCTTGTAACGCCCATGATCATCTGTAGGGATTTTTTTAGAGCTGGAACATCTACACTGGAAACATCTACACTGGAAAGGTGACTGGTCTCTCCATCTGCAAGCTGTCAAGGAAATATTGCTCTATTTCTTCGCTTCAGGGCATACGAATTATGCACGCTATGGGCTGTATTATCTCCTTGCCATGCAAAGTCTAGCTGCCACCAGCATTACTCAAGCAGTTCTCAGATAGAGAACATGTGATGCACCATCTGGTCCGATATGTACATTGAAACGGCTTTGAATGACTCTACCTTGCTCTCTGGGTTTTGTCTCTTAGCCTCTTTGGACAACTATAGAATGACTTGGAAGCCATAGGGGAAGATCAGAAAGTTGTCACTTGTCACAAAGAAGAGAGTACATGTACGTCTCAACAGAATCAAATCAGATGTGGCTGACAGAAAGAGAATTCGCGAGGCGCTATCGACTTGTTTAGATGCATTTAACAGTGAGAAGCATCCTCCTTCAAGCCTGGTGAACATCTACACTGGAAAGGTTGTGGATGATTCAGCAGTAAATGCCGATAATCCAATCAAGATTGGATCTGATCAGATGAACGAGAACGAAAGAAAGTTGCCGAAGGGGTTCCATGGCACAATTAAGAAAAAAGTCAAAGAAATGGCAAAGGCTTCTGATATATGTCGTCAAGAGGTGAGATATCTACAGTTGCCAATACAGGGATGATCTACGACCAAGTAATCGAGATCATGGCTACATCAAGGGAAGCGATTTTAACCAAAACCTTCTTCTATTATGAATTGGCTCCCTATCCACCCGCACTGTTCGACAAGAATGGTGATGCACGTTCCATAAGTAAGTCTGTCTTGAATTCAAGGAGCAAAGTTGAGTGTAGTCAACGAAATGCACAGCTGCCAGATGTTATCAGGCTTGATGAATGTGCTCTTCTTTAGATTGTTCCGTGTCCTGCTTCTCCTGCAAAGGTGTGTACTTTTGTAGATGTTGCTGTAGCAACATTCATGAAATATGCAGACAGATGACCAGTTATTCATGTGGTTTTAGACAGATAGTACGAGAGCAGCATCAAATCCGTTTTTTTACGAACAGCACGTGCAAAAGGTTGCAGCCGTGTATAATAGCTGAAGAGTGAGTATCCTCTGCCAAAACAGAACGTCATCCTAAATGTTTCTGCAAACAAGCAACAAGTCATCAAGGTGATCGTAGATCAGTTGTGTTCCATGCAAGCACAAGAGGGCAGATTTTCTGTTCATTCTGGCACACCATCTACATTTCCAAACTAATGGCATACCACACACAACAAAGGTGGTAATGGAATCAACATCTCACACTTGAGCAGTCATAGATATCAATGAGGTTATCAAGAAACGCAAGAAAATCATGCCCAATCTACTTTGAGCCCATACATTAGGTATAAGTGACACCGTTTCCTGTTTAATACAGAGTAGAAAAGGCTTCTGTACTGAAGAATTTGGAGCCATAGCTATCCTGATTCTCTATACTCCTTGGGAATACTGAAACCCTTCTCGACGAAGTATTAGAATCCTGCTTGACATACGGGGCATCCATGTAAGGAGAAGAACCAAATGATTCTCTTGACACAATGCGAAGGACCATTTTCGCAAGTAAGGCTAGTGGCAAGCGCCTAGCCCCTCTCAAATTGATGAGTCTTCCACCAACTATGGCCGCTTTTCCGTCAGATTACCAGCGTGCCTATTATCAAGTGACGTTGTGTGTGGCTGCTGGCAAGCCAGTACCCCCAGCCCTATACCAGCCTAGACCCATTGAAGAATTGATGGAGGAAGAAGTCTTCTACGATTCAACCTGTATATTTTGAAAATGATCAGCCAGTCGCACCGGAATAGTCCTCAACGTTAAGTGTGGGTGTAGGAGCGACTGCAGAACAGCCCAGTGCAGCTGCAAGAAATCTTTACTGGCATGCTGGGAATTCTGCCGCTGTATAAAGGGCGATGTCCATTGCCAAAATCCAATGAAAAAGACATCAGAAGAGAGTGACAGTGACAGTGACATTAGCGGTTGTGAAGACTTGTGTGATTTGAAATTGTTCGGCGCTGTTATTAAAGAGGTGTTAAGACTTAAAACTTAAAAGACTTCAATAATGGTAAATGCTTGTCTATAATGGACAAGGATATGGTTTACAATGAATATCTGTATATTCATGTTTTCATTATTTTATTCATATATAACCTTCCCAATACACAAAGTATACTTTGTTGTTTTCTAGCTAGCCTGTTGGGTTCGCTGTAACGGTATCCACTGCAAAAATGCAGGTGTTAGAGCAACACAACTTATATACATGTATCGGACCACGCGGATAGATACAATTTGCTGTTATTATCACTCGCGTATTCCAGTATACTGTAGTTGAAGCGCTGGATTTCTGTCTTTAGCTAAATCAAAATTGTTGACCCTTGAATAATAAACCATCCGATGCTCACAATGGTAAAGCTACCCATATTAAGACTGACATTGGGAATCCGCAATAGCATTGCATCTAAACTTGTGTGAGTAACATCTAGATAAAGCACACACTCAGTATAACATTTATATGCATTATACAGTTGGCGTACATCATTGCACATGTTGGGTTTTTCAGCCATTTTCATTATAATTGGACAGGAGAAAATCAAGCTAATAAAGGAAAGTTTATTTGTTTGCAGCTAAATGAGCTTACGGTGAACAATTTGTAAAACATGATGATAAGACTTAAAAAACTGAGTAATAATAAGTGGTGTAGTGAGATTCACATCTGGCAATCATCGGTTTTGGAATCAGATCCCCAAATTTGCCCCAAAACATCAAGCAACCTGATAAATGTCCTTAGAATAAACGTTTTCATGATTTGGCGGCCATTTTGAATTTTCGTATTTTGCGTAAAATGCTCAAGGTTAGGGGAATGGCACTCATCGGATTTCGAATCAGCACCCTCAAATTGACAAGAAAACACAAAATAACCTGTTAAATGGCCAAAGAATAAGCCCATTCTTGATTTGGCAGCCATTTTGGCGGCCATTTTGGCGGCCATTTTGAATTGTCGCCATTTACGTAAAATGCTCAAGGTTAGGGGAATGGCACTCATCGGATTTCGAATCAGCACCCTCAAATTGACAAGAAAACACAAAATAACCTGTTAAATGGCCAAAGAATAAGCCCATTCTTGATTTCGCAGCCATTTTGGCGGCCATTTTGAATTGTCGCCATTTACGAGAAATGCTCCAGGTTTCGCATCTGGCACTCATCAGATTTGGATTCAGCACCCTCATATTGACAAGAAAACATATAATAACCTGTTAAATGGCCAAACATTTGCAAAGCAGAAGCCTTTTCATGATTTGGCGGCCATTTTGGCGGCCATTTTGAATTTTCGCTTTTTACGAGAAATGCTGAAGGTTTCGCGTCTGGCAATCATCGGATTTGGATTCAGCACCCTCAAATTGACAAGAAAACATAAAATAACCTGTTAAATGGCCAAAGAATAAGCGTTTTCATGATTTGGCGGCCATTTTGGCGGCCATTTTGGCGGCCATTTTGAATTTTCGCCGTTTACGAGAAATGCTCAAGGTTTCGCGTTTGGCACTCATCGGATTTGGATTCAGCACCCTCGAATTTACAAGAAAACATCAAAAAACATTGTATGTATAACAAAACAAGGTTCCTTGCTCTCTAGCCTGGACAAGTAGATATTGCTCGTGAAAGACGGGAATGTAGAATCGAGTTTTGAGAAAAAATCATGTCCCATAGAGAATACACGCAAAATGTGAACAATTGACATGCCTCCTTTAATCGCAAAAAAAAGCCATGATGCCTTTGTCAAAATGAAAAAATAATAGGTATTGCATTTGTAGAGAATTGTCTCAGCTAGAACATATCAAAATTTGGAAGAAAATTGATCAATATTTACAGAGATACAATCAATTTACCAAAAATATGATGACGTCATAATATGCAAATTGAAATTTTGAGTTCGGAGGCCAATATGATGATGTCATGAGTTAAATGAGGGTCAAATGAGACATGAAATCATATCTCAAACTCATACTTAATCAAGATATGAAAACAAAATGAGGTCATCTTACATGCTAAGGAGCTACAATGGATTTTGTATAGGCATGTTTTTGCCCATATATGCTATGTATTACAAGAGCTCGCACGCGCGGAGACTTTTGTTAAACGGTCGATCATTCCGTTATTAATAGTCATAAAGAGACATACATGGTATCAATTTGTTTGTAAAAATACGTGAAATTTTATGGTGAAAAAAGGCAATTCTATGTTGTGTAACAATTTTACGCGCGATATAAAATTTTATAAAATGCTTAGAATGGCCTAAAACGTATGCAAAATTATTTTGAGACGATTATGAGCATTTTAACATTTTGCGCGCGCATTGACTCGCGGACGTACGCGCACGCGCGCGTTATTTGACCTGAAATTGACCGGACGCATATTGACCTCGATCATGATAAATATGAATGTGAAATACCTTTTGGTTATGAAGATATGATCATTAGTTGATTTTCGTAAAATTTTACAAAATGGCACCTAGATGACGTCATCAGTGAAGGTCAATGTTGAAAACGTTTTTGTGCTTTGTACATATGCCTATACAAATGTGTGCCAAATTTCAAGGCATTTAATTGAGCCATTTTCAAGTTATCTTGCTAACAAAAAAGTGGTTAGAAATAAGACAAATATTTAACAATAAATAAATAAATAATAAAGGCAATTCTAACGAAATTATAAGGTTGTTTGTACGATATCCAGCCCACCTGATAATGAGAGTAAACTAGAAATGCAATCGTGTCACAACGATGTGCGTGCAATGACGCCATGTTTCGATAAGTCAAACGAAAGAGCTTCTCTCGGACTATCCAGAGCAATTTGTACGAAGTCTGTAGCTTCTGTGATATTGGAGATAGGTAGGGCGAAGGAAAGGCCTTAACAGTGACCTTGATGGGATGGTAGTGACTATGCCTACGAAGTTTGAAAGAAATTGGGTTAGGGGAAAGAACCTAGAAAGGGCTCGTAAGCACTGCGTGCAAAAACCAATGGGATTTGGTGCATGTTCGTCATTGCAATCAAGATCGTTCTGGGGGTCCAAGCGTGAACCCGATATGCGCCGTAGACAATGCGTGTAATGCATGGGCGGAAAACGTACAGGATCTGTACTATGACCGGAGTTAATTTGTTTTTCTCTCTCTCTCTTTATGTCTCTTTATGGGCCGTATTTGGTATCATTAGAAAGAGAATTTCGTGGTTGCAAAAATATATTGTATGGACAAGGTGTCCAAGAGCATTGCGGGTCCATAAGCTAGGCATCCCGCATATACATGCAATCAGGCGCATAGCCACGGGGGGGGGGGGGGGGGGGGGGGGCACGTGCCCCCTAACATTTCCAGGATCGGTTGAAATTCTGTAGACCCCTTTTTTGACCTCGATCGATACATGTATGTGCCCCCCCCCCCCCCCCCCCCCCCCCCCCCCCCCCCCCCCCCCCCCCATATCAAACTCTGGCTACGCGCCTGCATGCAATACAATATGCCGCTGCCAATTTTTGCTGTTTATTTTTCTTCTAACGGGTAATTGATGGCAACTACGCGCAAAAAAAAACAAAACATGCAGCATGTATTTTGTTGAGCTATGGTTTATAAGATTCAGAAATGTGAAGCGTGTTACACGTTACGTCATAAAAAAAAGCCCGTCGTGGTTTTGCCGCGTCATGTCTGAACGAGCCTTCAGCGTTTGAAAAAAGGGTATAAGCTTATGGTCCTGCCATCAAACGTGATGCAATTTCAAATTATTGCACACATTAGTGTTCTTTCCATCATAAGATTGTGTCCCTTCCCTGTCATTCTACCTACGCAGAGGAGAAGTTAAAAAAGCTAGAAATGGATCAAGCTGGGACCGATGTACCGGCCAAATCTGACGTTCTGAGGGTCTATGCCACGACAGACGGTAATATTTTGATGATGATATAAAATATATAAATAACAACTCTGACAATGCTAATAATATTATCATTAATAGTAATAATAATATTAATAATGGCAGTAGTGGTAATAGTTGTTGCATTAGTAGAAGCATTAATGATAACAATTACATTAATGATAATAAATCACAATAATGAGAGTAAAAAAGAGAAGTAGAAGTAGTCATAGTAACAGTAGTAGAAACAATAATAATGATCATGGTTATAATAACTTAATAATAATGAGATATAAGTAGTAATAGTATTCTGTTTTTTTTTTTAAATAGTAGTGGTAATGGTGTAGTAGTAGTGGTAGCATCAGCAGTAGTAGTAGCAGTAGTAGTAATAACAAATATTAATGATAATACTAGTATTGATAGAATTCAGGGATTATACAGTGACGATGTTTCTAAGCGCTTTACATTCGTAGTAATTATTACACAAGTAATTGGATCCGGTCTTTCCCGCACACAATATATGCACCACACCCTCAGACCTGGAGACCTTTCCAGCCAGGTGCTATTTTACAAACGCTCACTATACTTGGCTAACTACAATAATTTGCCCATCCTACTGGGTACCTATTTAATAACTTGGTGGAGTGGGACAAAAATGAATTAATGTGTAGCCAAAGGACTTTGCGCCGGGCTGGGATTGAAACCCTCAACCCTTGAATTGAGGGTAAAGTGTACGACCCACTAAACCTCGACACCTCCTTTATTCAGTCGCATTTTTAAAGGCAGAATCATCTTCCACTATTGATGACTCCTCAGACATTGTTTTATGTTCCCCTTTGAGTAGGGAATTATTCTTTATCTTACTTCTTCTGATTCCAGTTGATTATAATT